CATAGAACAGTAAATAAAGAAATATAAAAAGAACAATTATCTCTTCTAGTTATGAACTTTGTACTCGTTTGCTGCTTGCCGTAGGTTACTAAGCCTTATCAAATTTCACACGTGGAGGATATAAAACAATCTTTTTAGGTATTACATATGCATTTTGAAATAACAAAAAATCATTAATTACAATATCAATACCACAGAATTCTACTATAATTTATCAGGATTAGCAACTAAGTTGTATTTTGGTTTGAAAAAATATGAAATTTCGAGCTTAATAATGTCTTACCTTAGCACTTGGAATCCACCATGGAAAGAAAGGGTTTCCTGCTTAAATACTTCACAGAGGCTCAGTAAATCATGTGGGGGACATTCCAAGCTTTTGATTGGTTATTCACATGTCATAGACAGAAGTAGGTGTGTGTAAGCAAGTATTTCCAAAAAATGGCTGTGCCACTGTGTTTGCTTCAATAGATGTAGTCATATTTCAGCAAACAGAAAAGATAGGTTGTTCTTATTCTATATTCTAGCTTGTCAATATTGACAGTTTGGGTTTCTAATTCGTAAGAATCTATAGACTTTGCTTTTGGATATCACAAACATCTAATCTGAACCAATGCTGCATTCAACATACCAGTTGACGCACAAAAATCAATATTTAGGAATTTTTTTATATTTACTTTTAAATCAAGAAATTGAATAATGTATAATACTGACATTTGAATTATAATCTACAATTTGATACCAAATTTATTGACATATATTAATAAAATAGTAGTTCAATAAAATTTTGAATGTAAGTCCACAAATGCAATGACATGGCCTTTGACCAATGACCGTAGGAAGACCTGTTTTGTTAGGGTTATTTGTAGTATGCCACACAATAGAGGAAAGTCGTAATATCTTGGTTTAGCAATATTCAGTAAACAAGTCAGTCATTTCACTGATAATTTTAGTTAAAGATTGCTATCAGTGGTGTGAAGTGATTTACTACAAGACATGTACAGATCACTCTAACACTCTTAGTAAAAGATTGCTATCAGTGGTATGAAGTGATTCACAACAAGACAGGTACAGATCACTCTAACACTCTTAGTAAAAGATTGCTATCAGTGGTGTGAAGTGATTCACAACAAGACAGGTACAGATCACTCTAACACTCTTAGTAAAAGATTGCTATCAGTGGTGTGAAGTGATTCACTACAAGACAGGTACAGATCACTCTAACACTCTTAGTAAAAGATTGCTATCAGTGGTGTGAAGTGATTCACTACAAGACAGGTACAGATCACTCTAACACTCTTAGTAAAAGATTGCTATCAGTGGTGTGAAGTGATTCACTACAAG